ATGGTTTCAGAGCAGTAGGTCCTTAGGACCGGTTTTTTTCGGGCCCACCATTAGCTAGTGACCGACTGCTGTTACCGCGCTACCCCACGCCTTGCCCTGCGTCGCGCTGCCCGCGCACGCCCTGCCTTGCCCTGCCCTGCCTTGCGTCACGCCACCCGCGTGCCCCCCCTTGCAGCACGCGCGCCGCCCGTCTGCAGCCCGCGCGCCGCCCGTCTGCAGCCCGCGCGCAGCCCTGCTGGCAGCACGCTGCCTTTTGCAGCCTGCGCGCCGACTTTGCAGCCCGCGCGCCGCCCTTTGCAGCCCCGCGCGCCGCCCTGCTGGCCGCGCGCCGCCCCTGCCTGCCCACGCGCCGTCCCTGCCTGCCCGCGCGCTGCCCCTTCCTCCCCGCGCGCCGCCCTTGCCTGCCAGCGTGCCGCCCATTGTAGCCCGCGCGCCGCTCTGCTGGCCACGCGCTGCCCCTGCCTGCCCGCGCGCCGCCCCTGCCTGGCCGCGCGCCGCCTTCTGCAACCCGTGCATCGCCCTGCTGGCCGCGCGTGGCCTGCTGCTGGTGTTTCAGGTGCTGCGAGTGGTGTGACTGTGGTGCAATCACGAAAGAAGCAATGTGACGCGCCTGAGTCAAGCGTGAAAGTGTGCAAGGCCTCAGCTGAGGCAGGACCTATGGCAGTAGACGCACTAGCACCTAGAGCGTCGGCAGACTCACAGGCACCTAGAGCTGCAGCAGACTCACCAGCACCTGGAGCGGCAGCAGACTCACTAGCACCGAGAGCAGCAACCTCTACACAACCAGGGACTCATCGCTAAGAAGCACAGTCGCGAGGTCGCTGAGGCCACATAAAACCAAAACCTCCACCACCAGGACGACCTCGCTGAAAAACCCACTCACGAATCTGCTGAGGGGTGGGGTCGTCCGTGAGAGGCAGGGACCGCTGCCGTCCACCCCTAAGTTATCTCCGCAGGCACTACCTGCTGTCGTCCTGATCAATCTGCACAGCGCTGCTACAGCCGTGACGACTTATACCGTGAGCGTTTTGGGCCTAAGTCGATGCCACCGATCTGGCCCGATCTGTCTCGTAGTGGTTACTCTGTGTTTGATATGTCTATGGATGCAGTTTATTCTGTCACGTATGGATCTCATGGCTTGAGTGTACCTAGCTTAGGACCTTTGCCTGTTGCTAGTGTAGGTACTTGTGCTTTAAGTGTAGGTGCTTGTGTAGTCCCTAGTCCAGCCGTGATGACTGTTGTCGCGTCCCTCTCCTTCACGCTGGACTCAGGCGCGTCTCAGTGCTTCTTTCGCGACGGGACGCGCGTGGCTCGGCGCTGCGCGGCAGGCAGGACGGGACGGGCGCACCGTGGCGCTGCGGGACGGGCAGGCAAGGCGGGCGCGACGGGGCAGACGGGACGGGCGCGATGGGCTAGACGGGACGGGCGCGACGGGCTAGACGGGACGGGACAGAGGCGACGCGACGCGACGGACGGGACGGACGCGACGCGACGGACAGGGGCGACGCCGCGGGCAGGCGCAATGCGTCGGACGGGAAGGGCAAGGGGGGGGGGGGGGACGCGACGCGGCGGTGAGAGCGGGCGCGACGCGACCAGCAGGCGCAGCGGGCGCTAGGGAATGGTACGAGCGTGACTAACACTAGGGTACGGGATAGGCTCAGGCGTTACGGACGTGAGCGGGAGGGACGGGATCCCACAGGATCCGAACCTAGGTGATACCATGTCAAGAACTGAATGTGTGTTTTAACTAAGGTTGGTTGGGGTACATAAACCTAACCCTAATTGTTGTACCCCATATGACACACATCACTAAGACTATAACATTTGACATGCAATTGAAAAAAAAAATAACCTATGGCTGAAAAAAATAAGGTGAGAAAAAAAAGTCCTCGAATAAAAAGTTCTGACAAAAAAGGAGAGGGGGGGGAGGGGAGGTGGGAGACAAGAGTAAGAAGGAGATGGATGGAGGCAGGGCGTCAGCAGGGCTCTCGTTATCAGACAAAAATAGTCTGTTGGTCTAGATTTCAGGCCTACTTTTTTTGTTTCATATGTTTTTTGAGACGAGTGAATTCGGTTCATGTGAGACCCCGGACAAGTCTTTTTATGTCGTATGTATTTTCATATGGATGTGTTATATCTCATCTGAGTTTGCAGAGAACGATGATGTTTTCGTCTACTCTCGTAAGTAAAAACGGTCCCCTGATGCCTCCTGCGCGAGAAACTTTCAGAATCACTGTGCAAGAATGAATGAACTATGAATGAGTTGGGTACAAGTACTAACCCTTAAGTATTGTACCTCTTGTAGGCTAACCCACTATGGCCTAGAGACAATACAAACATATAGTTTGACTGAAACCGCAAGTAACAGGGCAAAACATCCTCATTACCCTGATTTCAGGATGGTGTTTTAAGTTTGCCCTAGAATTTCAGAATGACGCTGAAATTTACCATGTGACATCAGGATGGTGTTTTAAGTTTTGCCCTGAAATATCAGAATGGCAATGAAATTTTGCCCTGAAGTGTTAGGGTGAATGTAGAGGGATGCCCTGACTTGTTGGAAGGGGAGAAGGGGCGGAGGGCGGAAAGGGGGAGAGGGGAGGAAGGAGGCTGGGGGGTGTGTATGTTAGTTTTGTCCCCACCCCTCCCCCTCCAAAGTTAATGCTCAGCCAGTAGAAGTGAAACCACTGAAGAATCTGCTCCTTTCGTGCCTTCCCTTCCACTCTAGTGTCTTGTATTTTTTTGCCCCACAGCATCCAGATGAATTTATGCTGGTGCCCTGAAATTTCAGGATGGCCAGGGAATTTTGCCCTGAAAAATCAGGGCATTTCGGTAAGTTTTCAAAAGTTGCCCTGAGGGCTCAGGGTGCCCTAAATCCTAGCACAGGCCCTGGCAAGTAATACTGAGTCCATCCGAGCCCTGGTGGGTTCGAATCCACCAGGTGCCTCTCCTGGTGGGTTTCGAACCCACCAGTGCGCCCATGGGCGGAAGCGAGCTGCCCCGGGCAAAAAAAAAAATTCCCCATCGCGACCTGCATGCCATTCGGGAGCCTCAACACTAAAATTTTTGGGTTGATGCCTCCGAGTCGCATGCCTTCCGATTGGGTTCTAGTTTTTTTGCCGCCCGCGGGCAGATCGCTTCCGCGAGCACGCGGAAGCGTTCCCGCATTCGCCCGTGTTTTACTGTTTGAGCGCGTACCGTATGAACCTTTGAAAGTTACCTCAGGGATCGAACCCCCGCCAACCGCAACACCACTGAAATCCAAACCATTATGCTATCTGCAAACAATATTGGGCTGTGTTCAATATCTTCATACGTTTTTACAGAGGACCTCAAATTTCTGTATGAAAATCAGACGGGGCATAATCGTTCGTATGACACAAAGGGCTTATAACTTTTTCGCATTTTGAAGTACGGACGGATGGTCCGTACGGACTTCGAAAGGGTTACTGGTGTCGCCACATTTCGTCAAAAAGTTCGCCACACCCCGTGCGACGTCGCCCACGTCCGGACCAAAACTGCCACTTTCATGCCTCCCGCCAGTCCGATCAACCGTTCTGACACTGTCCGGCAGCCGTCCGTACTGTCCCACGGTACTGACATGCCATTGGCGCGCGAAATCAAAGTTGCTGCCAAATGTGCGGCTCGATTTCCCGGCTCGGAATTCGAACATTTCGACGCGCAACAACCACATTTGGTGGGAACACATAGGTGCTGGGCATGCTGGGGCGCTATTCCAAATTGCAGTCCCAATTGACGGTACGTGGCGCCGGTTCCTAGATAAACCAACGTCATAGCCACCACCGTCTCAACCGCAACAACTCTTCGCCTAGTACCGTGTCGGCTCACATACGCATCGACCAGGTAGTCGAAGACGTTGCGGTCGACTCTAAGGGTCTCAGTGAAGAGCTGGAGAGGGATATTCGCGAGAAGGCCCTCCCACCTCTCTCTTTGGGAGACGCGGTCCGCCTGCATGAATAATCTATCGTCGTCATCTTCAGCAAGTTCAGACAGAATCGGGAGTAACTGGACGATTCTGTCGTGCCGGGGCCGCCCAAATATCTGCTGGTACCCGCGGTATAGTAGCGTTAACACGGCGACGAACTGCCGTGATGACATGGTGTTGAGTAACGGGGTGATTACGACGGCAAGACACAAGTATACTACAGGTTGTGTTGACTGGAAATATTTTGTTGGCTCACGCCGGAAACCAACACACATTGACTTGACACATCGTCGAGTCGCGATTGTGGTTGGGCGACTTTGACAAGGAGGTGGTAATGTGCGTTACGCGTCGCATGCATTTCAAATTTCGAAAACCAAAAAAGCTCCGCAATTGTGAGTCGGACGGCTCCACGTCCGAACCACTTTCCCAGACGTACGGACGGGGCCCCGTCCGGTCGGTTGGAGGGCTCCGACCGTACTTTTGACGTAAACTGTAAAAGTTACAAGACACGCCCTAAGACGAAATGAAAAATTTCAAAAAAAAAAATCATAAGGGCCAAAAACTTAGCAAGAGGCAATGGAGCACAGCAGCTGACAGCAACAGGGAGTTGCTTGGAGGCTGGTTGAAGAGGTGTGGGTGGGAGAGCTCGGTGGCAGCAGCTTCTTTTTTTCATCCAGAGCTGGGTGGGAGAGCTGGGTGTTTGTGGGAATGTGGGAGGCTGAAACTGGTGGAGGGTGGCAGGGCCTATGGATTGCTGCTGTGCTGATGTGCTCAGATGTGCTCCTAAGGAAGGAGAAGTGCTATATCTAGGTGATGGATTCAGGTGTTCACGAGCTAGCATACTACAACCAGAGGCAAGGCAGATAAGCCCACTTAGTAGTACTGTTTATCTTGTACATAATCCATAAATAATGTATAGTACCGTAATTGCATGTGTCAGTGTTTTCAAGTGCAGTGCGGATGCATAATTTTGTAGAGCAACGCCGCTAGCCATGGCGTGTTTTGAAGAGCAACGGCGCAGGAATGCCCAGCAGTGATGCACTGCACATACGGTAGACTACACGATATTGTACTGCAGCAAATTGCAGGCGGCATCCTGTGTGGTGCGCTCGGAAGGGGACGGACAGTGAGAGGGACGGTGGCATCTGAGCAACAGGGGCTGCTGCCTGGTGGGTGGGGAGGGGAAGTGAGGGAGGGAGACGGGGGGTGGGGAGGAGGGGAGATGGCAGAGAAGAGAGAGTGCGTTGGCAGGATGTGAAGGAGAGGATGAAATCGCCTCGCTCGCATCTCCCAACCCCTCTGCCAGCCACCACTCACTGCCGCTTGGAGTGGCCGTCACTTCCCCACAAAGCCCTCCGTGCCCTCCCCTTGTCTCCACCCCCTCTCACCTGTTCCTCCCACTCCTCACCCCCATCCGCCTCTGCCACCCCGCTTCCCCTGCCAACAGCGACAGCCTCTCCCACAGCCTCGTACCAACCCTGTCTCTGCTTCTACACCCACTCACCACACGCACCATCCCCCATCCCACGCACCGCCCACCATCCCACGCACTACCCACCATTCCCACGCACCACCCACCATCCCCACGCACCTCTCACCACCCCCCTGGACCTCTCACCTCCCCATCAAGCAACAGTGCGAGCAGATCCGAGCGGGCGGCACGGAGGAAAGGCGATCCGTGGGATGGGAGATGGCTTCTGCCGCCCTCTGCTGCACCCACGCACATGGGCGATGGGGTGGCACATGGGCGGGAGGGAGAGGAGGAACAAGCAGATGAAATGAGTGGTGGGTACGGGGCATGGGCGGCAGAAAGGCAAGAGGACGAGGGCGGGAGATAGAGGAGACGTGGGTGAGAGAGGAAGTACTGTTGATGAGAAGAAAGAGTGGGAGAGAGAGCGAGGAGGGGCGACAGGGAAAGGAAATGGGTTGGAGAGAGAGGGGGGTCGTTGTAAAGCAAGTCGGCAGAGAGGAGGTGGGTGAGAGAAGGGCAACCGCTGTGAGAGGGAGTAAGGAGGAAAATGGATAGAGGCGGGAAGGAGGGGGGAATGGTCGAGCATTATTGGGAAATTGGGTACGGGCATGGTGTGCATACGTACACGTGTGCAGTGCGAGATGAGCATGGGACTGTGCATGTGCGCATGCATGTCTGCGCCAACCGAGAATCGCCTGCACGTGCGCTGCTGGCATGTGACGCAGCGAGACGCAGCGCCCACTCATGTGGCGGTGGCGTTGCAGCCCCAGTGGAGGCGCGCAGAGAGTCCACGTGAAGGGCACGGAGGGCCGCCATGGGCGAGGACGCCACGTGGCACGATGCCTGGCAGCTCATGCCCGGCAGCTCATGCCCGGCAGCTCATGCCTGCCATGCTGGCGCGGAGGGCGATGGGGGGAATTGGGAGAGGGCGGGGCGGGGTCAGACGGGAGTGAAGGGAGACGAGGGGAGAGGGGGGAGATGAGGGGAGAGCGGGACCCGAGGGTTGTGTATGCAACGGCAATGCCCGAGTGAGCGGGTAATGCACGAGGTGGCAGACTGTGCGAGGGAAGGGAAGGAAAGGGGGAGACGAGAAGATGTGGACGATGGATGGCGGAGGCGAGTGAAACGACAACGGCGGGAGCGGCGATGAGGGCGCATCCCTGGCAGAGGCTTTGCGCGCGATATGGGTACGTGCGGCATACAAGGTATTTCCTCACCTCATCACCTCTGTATGCCCTACTGCTGGTGAATTTAAGCGGCCTGCCTGAGTGTGGGAGCGTTTGACAAAAACACTGTCGAGAGGGACGCGAGAGGTGGGCAGTGCGAGCCGCCACGGCAGGTGGGCGGCAGGCGCGCAGTACGACAGATCGGCACGCGTGAGAAGTAGACATCCGCAAAAGAGACGGCGGGGCGACGGCCTTGACGACGAGTAGAGCAGTTGACGCGTGAGACACGCCGGTCGGTGTCTCGACGCCTGTCATACCTCTCGCGCAATCCACATGTCAGCCGGTGAGTGGCACACAGCAGGCTGCAGGGCGCGTGCAGAGCGCGCCGAGCCGAGCAGCGGCGCGGTACAGCCGGCAGTCCGCCATTCCGCGCGTCGCTCCAACCCTCACCGCATCTGCCGCCAACGGCCTCCCCGCCATGCGCTCGCCCCCGCGACTCACGCTCCCCATCGCTGCTACCGAGTCGGCGCGCAGCTGTACAATCGTTTTTTATTTTAGCCTATGGCAAACTCGAGTTTTTTAAAACTAAAACAGCGCGTCCGCCGCCGTAGCAGCAGCGATTTCCGTCCTATATTCTGCCATGATCTAGGGGTGTGGGAACGTGGCGATCCTACTTGCTCCGCTGATAGCTGAATTCGAATCTGCGAGCGCAGGAGGAGAGGAAGTGCAGCAGGGTGATGAGTGTTCGGTATGTTGAAAACGATTTGAATCGTTTTACTGAGATATAACACGGTAATAGTGTAGATAAGATTCGAGCCCTCCCTTTTGTGGTCACCTCGCTGGACCGCATTCGACCCTGCCCACCACGATTGGAGATATTTGTGTTGTCGAATCAGTTTGCACACCGTGGTGTTTGACCGATTGACGATCAAGCGAAACATCGCACACATTTTCGCGAAACAGCATCACCACTGCACCAATAGCACAACCCATCGCCCAATTCCTGAGAATTTTTGTTGACACTGATTGGTTGATCTTGGATTGCGGGAATCTGGAACGACCAGTTTGGGAGATAGGAACATCGCAGATGACTGGAAACCAAGCGGTGTGCGTGTGATGCGTCAGCGTCCAATCGCAACAACACTCCCCCTCCCTCCCTCCCGACCCGACCCGAGCTCATCACCCTCGAGTTCAAAACTGGCATCAGTCAGTCACAGCAGAGCAGCAGCACTCGATTTCACTTCATCCCATCGCAGCTTCTTCGAGAGATTCAAACATCCACAATGGCTGCTCTTGCCAACGCTGCTGTGCTCCCGTCCACCTTCGTCGGCCAGAGCGCTGAGCTCGCCGCAAAGGTGAACAATGTCGAGGCCCGCGTGACGATGAGGAAGACCGCCAAGGCGGCTTCCAGCAGCGCCTTCTACGGCCCCGACCGCAACCTGTTCCTGGGCCCCTTCAGCTCCCCGCCGTCGTACCTCACCGGCGAGTACCCCGGCGACTACGGCTGGGACACCGCCGGTCTGTCCGCTGACCCCGAGACCTTCGCCAAGAACCGCGAGCTGGAGGTAAGCCTAACATCACATATAAGATGCATTTGTCACGGATGCACATTTATTGCTGAATGAACAACGCAAATATCACGTTTCAATGTTTATATGAGCAATTTCGAAACAGCTTTACCTTGGCTGCGATACGACGCTAACCGTTTCACGGTTCTGACCGAATTCACTGTTGTTTCGCCTGTTTATAAATCTTCAGGTCATCCACGCTCGCTGGGCTCTGCTCGGCGCGCTCGGCTGCCTGACCCCCGAGCTGCTGGCCGGCAACGGCGTGAACTTCGGCGAGGCCGTGTGGTTCAAGGCCGGCGCGCAGATCTTCTCCGAGGGTGGCCTGGACTACCTGGGCAACCCCAGCCTGATCCACGCGCAGTCCATCCTGGCCATCTGGGCCACCCAGGTCATCCTCATGGGTGCCGTCGAGAGCTACCGCGTGGGTGGCCTCGAGGGCTTCCAAGAGGTTGAGGACCCCCTGTACCCCGGCGGTGCCTTCGACCCCCTGGGCCTGGCCGACGACCCCGATGCTCTTGCTGAGCTGAAGGTGAAGGAGCTGAAGAACGGCCGCCTCGCCATGGTGTCGATGTTCGGCTTCTTCGTGCAGGCCATCGTCACCGGCAAGGGCCCCCTGGAGAACCTGAGCGACCACCTGGCTGACCCCACCGTCAACAACGCGTGGGCCTATGCCACCAACTTCACCCCTGGTGCTTAGATGTTTTACCCTTCCTGTACATTTATTACTATACACAAGCCAATTTCAGCTGAAACCTCAATGCATATTTCCTGAACCATATCTAAGCTTCACATTCAACATACAACATTTAATAGCTGCCAGTAAACGAAGGGATAACCATTAGGTTGAGAACACTAACGTCAACCAGTGGAGGAAAGAAGGAAGAAAAGGAAGAGGAAGAGTACGAGGTATACATGTAAGTTCATGCTAGGCTGCAGTGAGGCATGCTGTAGGGTGTACAGGTTGTTACGTTTAGCTATTTGTATTCAACCCTTGACCAACTCAATCCGCTGTTTCTCATTCTGACATAGTATCATTGAGTAGGTTCGTTCCCCCTACCCTAGTCTGCTTTGCGCGTTGCTACTTCTGTGCGGGAGCTGCATTACTGCCCTACTGTCATGCGCTGCCGCTCCTACTGCCCACTACTGCATGCGCTGCTGCCTCTACTGCACGAGTTGCTGCAGCTGCTACGTGCACCAGTGCTGCTCTCACCCACGCTGCTCGTTGCGCGCTCCGACGCTTTGCGCTGCCACTCTACGCGTTGCCACATTGCGCGCCACTGCGCGCTCCACTCCGCGCTGCTGCGCGAGCTCCGGCGCGCAGCCGCGCGCTGCTCCTGCGCTGCTCGCGGCTGCACGCGCTGCTGCGAGCCGCTGCTGCCCGCTACCGCTCGCTGCTCTTCCCACTGCCGCTCGCTGCCAGGCCCAGCTCGCTGCCACTCCCGCCTGCGCCTGGCTCGCGAACGGCCGCTGCCGCACCCCTAGCCGGCCGCCTGCTGCCGCGCAGCGCTACCAATCGCCGAACCGCGCCGCGCTACTTACCGCCAAGCCGCGCCGCCCTGCCTACCGCCGAGCCTCGCCGCCCTGCCTACCGCAGAGCCGCACCGCCCTGCCTACCACCGAGCCGCGCCACCCTACCTACCGCCAAGCCGCGCCGCCCTGCCTACCGCCGAGCCTTGCTGCACTGCCGCCCTGCCTGCCGCCACACAGCCATATTGCCGTGCCACTAGCTCTCAATACTACCTCTTGAACTAGTGTCCGCCATGGCGATGATTACTGTGCTCACGTTTGACGCAGAGGGGCGCTCTATCGAATTCGAGTCCTGGCTAGAGGACCTTCACTTGCACCTGCATAGTGTTACCATAAGACCTTCACCCGCACCTGCATAGTGTTACCATATGACCTTCACCTGTACCTACATAGTGTTACATTGACCTTCACATGTACCTGCATAGTTATTGCGGTGCGTTGCAGCCACTACAGCAACAGGAGCAGCCGAAGTCGTCGCTGTCGCTACCTAGGTCGGCGCTTCACCACCTTCTCAGTCTTCCGCCTCCCTCTGCAAAGCCGTCTACCACTGGTACTACTCCTCTTTAACTGTTTCAGTCGCCTAACCTGTCTCAGGCACAGTTACCACCTGACTCCCCTCTTCCTGCTCCTCCTTGTTACTCTCCGTTGACCCACTCCTTGACTAAGCGTAGGGAGCCTGTGTCTGAAGCTACCTCACCTGTTGCTCGTACCCGTCGCCTTCGTACTCCACTTCCACCTGATCCTAGTACTCACGCCATGACACTTCGCCCTTCCACTGTTTTGCAGTCTGTTGTCCTGCCGTTACCTCCCCCGTCTTCTCTGCCTGACGTTTCTAACCTTGTGTCTAACCGTGCTCGTGCTGCCAGTCCGACTGTCACTCGTTGCCTTGCCACACTTGTGACGGACCCTACTTTTCCGTCTGCTGCTGCGTCTGCCTTGGCCGTTGAGCTCACTGAATTTGCTGCTACTTGCTGCCTTGACTACCTCGCGAGTTTGGTTTCTGACTCTGCCTGTCTTGCATCCGTCGGGTTAGCCTTGTCAGATTACTTATGCTATATAGGTTTAGGCTGTAGTGGGGTAGCCAATATGGGGTACAACCCCTTCTAGGGTTTGATATTTGTACCCAACTCTTCCATAGTTCATTCATTCCTGCCTATACTTCTGACATGGTATCAGAGCAGTAGGTCCGTAGGACCGTCTTTTTTTTCGGGCCCACCTACCACTACCCCACGAATGTGCCTGTCACTGTACCTAGGACGTGCTGCGCTGCGCGCACTGTCTGCCTGCTGCCTGCTGTCTACTGTCTGAGCTGTCTGCTGCTGCTTCGCGCGCAGACCTAATTCTAACGCGCTGCCTCGTCTTTACCCCCGCGGGTCGCCCTCTCCTGCCCGAATCGCGCCTCGGCAGCCGCGTCGCGTCCCGCGCACGGCCCGCAGCTGCCCCGCGCAGCCCGCCCCGAGCCCGCGCGACGCGCGCGCGGCCCACACCTGCCCTGCGCGGCCCGCAACGAGCCCGCGCAGCGCGCGCGCGGCCCGCCGCTGCCCCGCGCAGCCCGCCCAGAGCCCGCGTGGCGCGTCCGCGGCCCGCAGCGCGCTGCGCGCCGTCCGCGCAGCCCGCGCCGCGCTCTGCCCGCCAGTGCGCGGCCCTAGGCAGCGGCGCGCGCCACGGCCTCGCCCTGCCGCCGACACGGCCCCGCCCTGCCGCTGACACGACCCGGCCCCGCCCTGCCACTGACACGACCCGGCCCCGCCCTGCCGCCGACACGGCCCCGCCCTGCCGCTGACTTGACTCGGCCCTACAGCAACTGCCGCGGCCCTGACCTGCCGCTGTCGTGGCCCCAGCCCTGCAGCTGACGCGGCCCTTCACTGTAGCCGCTGTTGCGGCCCCGCCGTCGCCGCCGTCGTGCGCCGACCCTGCCGCCGTCCGCCGAGCACCGGCCCTGCTCGCCCGGTGAGCGCCTACTCTTCCCGCCACTGGTGAGCACCTGCCTTGTTAGCGCGCCGCCGCGCCGCCTGCCTGCCTGCCTGCCGGCCTGCCTGCCTGCATGCCGGCCTGCCTGCCTGCCGGCCTGCCTGCCTGCCTGTCGCGCCTGCCCTGCACGCGCTGCTGCTACTACTACTGCTATTGCTACTGCTACTGACGGTGGCCAGATGCGGCTCCAGCGACGTCCGCGTGAGTCCCTCACGCCCCAACAGCTTAGTGAGTGGTACGCTAGTTGGGGTTGTAGGGGTGGCAGCACTGCTACTGCTGCTACTGCTGCTACGGCTGTTACTGCTGCTACTGCTGCTACTACTCCTACTGCTGCTACTGGCGGTGGCCAGATGCAGCTCCAGCGACGTCCGCGTGAGTCCCTCACGCCCCAGCAGCTTAGTGAGTGGTACGCTAGTTGGGGTTGTAGGGGTGGCCGCGCTGCTACTGCTGCTACTGCTGCTACTACTCCTACTGCTGCTACTGGCGGTGGCCAGATGCAGCTCCAGCGACGTCCGCGTGAGTCTCTCATGCCCCAGCAGCTTCGTGAGTGGTACGCTCAGAGTAGAGGGTCTCTCGGTACCGTTCGCTGCCATTATGTCATTCGCACTGGTGCTCAGACTGGTCAGGCTTGCGAGACGCTTAGTCACACACAGTCCCGCTGCTTCGCCCGTCTGAGCGACGCCTGGCGTACCGAGTTTGGCGACGAGGCTGAGCTCCCCGACTGGGTGGAGCTGCTTGGGCAGAGGGTAGATATATTTGCTCTTGACTATGATGCTATTCTCACTGCCATGTATGCATTGCCTACTAGTGCTGACCGTGCCTGTTACCTGTGCGTACCGCCTGACCCAGGTATAGAGCCTGCTGCTCTAGGTGTTGGTGAGGCTGCTGCTCTAGGTGCTAGTGCGTCTCCTGCTCTAGGTGCTGGTGAGGCTGCTGCTCCAGGTGCTGGTGAGTCTGCTCTCTCTGGTACTGCGCCTGCTGAGGCCTTGTACACCTTCACACTTGACTCTGGTGCTTCTCGCTCCTTCTTTCGCGACAGCACCACCCTCACGCCGCTCAGTCAGCCGGTTCCAGTCTCCCTGGCAGACCCTTCTGGGGGTCCAGTCCGTGCGACCTCCTCCACTGTCCTCCCTTGTCCTGCTGTCCCGTCCGGCACACTGTCGGGTCTTTACCTCCCCTCGTTCTCTACGAACTTGGTGGCGGGTTCTGCGCTCCAGGACGCGGGTGTTCACCAGTTCACCCCTGCCTACGAGCGCGTGACCCACTGCACGTATGCTCAGACGGGTCGTCACCTGGCTACCTTCACTCGGCAGCCGGGGTCGGGCCTGTACACACTGACCACTGAGTCCCCTCAGGTAGCTGCGTCTGCGTCTGCGTCAGGTCAGTTGTCGGCCCCCTGCTCGTGTCGCGCCTTGTCGCACCAGACCCTCCTTTGGCACCACCGCCTTGGTCACCCCTCGGTGCAACGCCTTCGCAGCATGCACCGCCGTGTTCTTGTCTCTGGTCTTCCCAGGGTTCTCCCTCCCCTGCCACCCTCGCCTGCTCCTCCCTGTCTTCCCTGTGTTGAGGGGCGGCAGCGCGCCGCTCCTCACTCCTCCTCGTTCCCTCCCACAGAGGCTCCCCTGCAGACTCTCCACCTGGACGTGTGGGGCCCAGCCCGCGTCCGTGGACAGGGCCACGAGCGGTACTTCCTGCTGGTCGTCGACGACTACACGCGTTACACCACGGTCTTCCCCTTGCGCACCAAGGGTGAGGTCCCTGATATTTTGATCCCTTGGATCCGCGCTGCTCGTCTCGAGCTCCGCGAGCGGTTTGGGACGGAGTTTCCCGTTCTTTGTCTGCACTCTGACAGAGGTGGTGAGTTTTCCTCCGACCTCTTGGCAGGCTTCTGTGAGGAGCACGGCATCACCCAGTCGTTCACGCTTCCGGCCTCTCCGCAGCAGAATGGGGTTGCTGAGCGCCGCATTGGCTTGGTCATGGAGGTTGCTCGTACCTCCATGGTCCATGCGGCTGCCCCCCATTTTCTGTGGCCGTTTGCGGTCCGGTACGCCGCGCATCAGCTCAACCTCTGGCCCCGTGTCTCCTTACCGGAGACCTCGCCCACACTGCTGTGGACGGGGAAGGTTGGCGATGCGTCGCATTTCCGGGTCTGGGGTTCTCGTGCCTCTGTCCGCGATACCACCGCGGACAAGCTCTCCG